TTTTTTTTTTAATTCTAGATCATAATCAAAATAAAAAATCCCTATATAAACAGCTTTCCCCCACACAAAATCCACCTCACCTTATCATCATCCCATCCATCTCATGTCATCATCGTCAGATAGTTGCAACTCTCGCCACTTTTCATGGCTTATGAAATCTTGTTTTCCCGATCCCCACCACCACTCCACCTCCACCATCCTCAACCGTGTTCCACCGCCGCCCCCACTACCACCTGTACTGCCACCACCATTTCTTCCCTCCCAGATGATCTTCTTCTAGAATGCCTCGCTAAAGTCTCTCACTCCTCACTCCCTTCTCTCCCTTTCGTCTGCAGGAGATGGGCCCACCTCCTAGATTCCAAAGACTTCCATTCTCTCCGGCGACATCATAATCTCCTCCACTTTACTCTCTTCTCCGTTTCTATCCACAACTCCACCCTTTTCACGGCTAGCCACCGCTTGGATGTTGATTCATCGTGGAGAGTTTCGTCTTTTCTGCCCTCTGACGATGCCGTCACGCAACATGGGTCGCTGCATTCGTTGTTTTCTCATTCCAGAGTGGCAGCCATTGGCCGGAAAATCTATATCATTGGCCGGACGGCGATGCTTCGGTGTGACACGTGGACCGGGACACTGGTCCCGAAACCGGGAATGCTCGTGCAGAGGAAGAAATTCGCCGTCGGCGTCCTTGGCGGAAAAATCTACGTCGCCGGCGGGTGTTCGAGATCCGCTGAAGTGGAAGAATATGACCCAGTGGAGAATTTGTGGCGCGTGGTCTCCCACGCGCCGAGAAGGAGATATGGGTGCGTTGGCGCAGCCGTGGATGGCTTGTTTTACGTGATTGGTGGGCTGAGGATAGGTAATTCAGGAAATGAATGGTTGAGCTTGTCCTCATGGGCCGCCGGTGCTGAGGCGGTGCATCTTTACGCCAGCTCAATGGATGTGTATGATGTGGCGGCGCGTTCATGGCTGAGGAGCCGGTCAGTGCCAGGAGGCGGCTGTGTGGTGGCAGCTTGTGCCGCAGGCGGACACGTCTATGTGCTTTCAAGCCATGCAGTGGAGCTCTCATTCTGGAGATTCAATGGCATACGAAACAGTAGTAGCTTCGGAGAGTGGTGTAGGATAAAGAGTCCGCCGCTACCGGCGCAGGTTAGACTCGACAGCTCGGTGAGGTTCTGCTGCATCGGGGTGGGGGAAAAGGTGGTGCTAATACAAGTAATGGGTTGCATAGATGACTTGTTGAGGAGGAGTGGGAGGAATGAGAGGGGCTTAAAAGAAGGGTTGGTGTTGATCTACGATTGCACCGCCGGAGAGTGGAGTAGAGGGGCTGACTTGCCGGAAGTGATCAGACGCGCCGCCTGCGTATGTGTTGAGTGCTAGTAATTTAATCTGCGCCAAAGAAGGGGTACCAGATTCCTGCTACTCTACTACTAAGAGATGCGCATTGGCTCACGAGTCTTCTCGTTTGTCCATGAAGCTTTTGACCATTTGTGCTTTTTAGGAGAAAAAAAAGGAGCTAGGGAACTTGGTTTGAAAGCATGGGAATCACCAGTTACCATATTGATTGAAGTATTCAAAATATTTTTTAGCCAAATTGGTACAAATTGACTATTCTTTCCTTTTCTTTTGTATTTTTTTTACATTGCTTGGGTTTTTGGGGTGCTGAGAATGAATGGTTGATAGGGGTATATACCACATTGGAATTCCATTTTTGAGTTGGGAAAAAAAAATCAAGAATTGAAGGAAGGTGATGATAGGGTGTGGGAAGATCTAGGAGGGGAATCCTAGATTGTGGAGTGTATCTAGGGATGGAATATGAAACTATTGATTAATTTTTTTTTCTTTGAAACTTAAACTATTGATTTGGTAGGTGATGGGAGGTGGATTAGTAGTCAAAATTCTTAGTCACTTGTCTATTCTTTTGCTGTAATGTGAATGTGGTATTTGTCAAATCTGACAAACATAAATGAAAAAGAAGACAGCAATTTGGTAGCAGTGTATTCTGACAACTTCTTGGAAGCATTCTATGTATGACTTAGTGTTGTCTATTCATCCCATTGTAGTTAATCCTCTATTTCTTGGCTTGAGAGAATGTGTTTGTACAACTGAATGAGAATTTAGACCACTGCTTAATACAGCTAAGTGCAGAATTTTCACTGATATCTGATGCAACAGAAACTTGCCTTATAGAGGTGAAGTCTGGCCTGCTGTTTTCCATTTTGTATAGATAATCAACAATTATAGAAATTTGAATCCAATTCTAGAATATGATTTCTTATTGCTTAAAGAGACTGCATGTCATTGAACTCAAAAGGGCAATTGCCATATGGAGAAATTCAATAGAACTTGAACCCCTAACAAAGATTACCTGCCAAAAGGCCAAATTACTTGTACTAATTTAGCTTTCATTCATCAAATAATGGATCTAAGAAATAAAACAAATTAAAGACATATAACTATTATATTTGTTGAGGAAGGTTCTTTGAAAAAAACAAAAATGTTATGCTTTCTTGAGTATTTTATGATCTTGTAAGACATCACCACAATCACAGCATATGTTAAAAACTTCATGTAAATGTAACATATAGACCACAGAAAGTTGAAGAAAAGGATAAAATTGTTAGGCAAAGTTTATAAGCTTTGGAATTAGTAGTGGAAGATGTTCTTAGGCTGTCACTTTTTACTAATGCATCCTCTCTAAGATGTCTGGAATAGGTTGAGATAATAAAATGTAATGTAATGCCTACTTATATACATCAAACTGAAGAGATCCTACTTTGTAACATAAGCTTAGGAAAGCCATGACAACCGTAGTTAGTTAAGTCAATTGAAAAAAAAAAAAAAAGAGGAGCTATTGAGTTTAAAACCTATTATTTAAAAAAAAAAAATTGAAAACGTAGCACTACTTTGGTTTAGATTTTTATTAGCACATATTCATTAGAAGTTTATTTTAAAATTATTTATTGAAAATTAAATTTAAAAAAATTAAATTAATTTATTAAAAAATTATTTATTGAAAATTAAATTTAAAAAAATTAAATTAATTTATTAAAAAATTATTTATTGAAAATTAAATTAAAAGTTAGAATTTCATCTGGAAAAAACAAAATTTTAAACCATATCGAAATGTTTTGTGAGAGTTTATACTTATTGAGTCAACTTTCCTCGCACGTCCCACATCGAGTGTTTTCGAGGCAAAAGCACGATATATATGTACGCAAGCGATTGCCCACTCCGTCCCTTCGGGGACATCGCGATAAAATTGGAACGATACAGAGAAGATTAGCATGGCCCCTGCGCAAGGATGACACGCACAAATCGAGAAATGGTTCAAATTTTTTCTCACTCTATTTTTCTTAATCTTTCATCTTTCATGGATCAACTAGCAATTTGCAGCAATTCTGACACGAAACTTGTTTAAGATTCTGCCTTCTTTTTCATAACCAGCGTGTTTCTGTCTATTCTCATAAGCTGGTCTGGTCCCATCTCTGCATCATCTTTCATTCAATTCTCGATATTAGACCTTTTTCTTTTCAAATACGATAAATTCTATTTTACATTTACTCTTACTCTATATTATGAGAAAGGGTTGGATTCAAGAGAGTTAATGAAAAATTCAGAGGAGACTGAATCGCCACCGAATCAAACGGATGTCTTTGCACCCGTTGATGAAATTTTTAGAAAATCTTGAACAAGAATGCAGGTCAAGGGATTCAATTCCTTGATCTACACGTAAGGAGAGTTTTAAAACTCTCCCTAGTTGGTTCAATTCTCGATGGTAGTCACGGTGGACAAATATTGGAATGCCCAGTGTGCAGCTTTGGCAGTTTAATAAATTTTAAATTAGAAGTACCTCTCTAATTAGTAGAAATTTTTCTGTGGTGATAAAGTTCTTTTATGCGCCCTGCCGCAAAGGTATAAAATAAATATACCTTTACGAGAATTTGATTAATTTTTTATATATTGACAATATATAAACAAGTTTGATTTACATGCATAATAAGTAATATCAAATTGAATTTCAACGACAGATTCTATAAATATATCAGGCATCTATCTATATATAGTTACTAATGTCATCCACAACTATTACCATCACTTATTAATTTTCATCTCTGGTTATCACAAGTCACTTGAGAATCGTTTTAGTTCATGAATATATATATATATATATATATATATATATATATATATATATATATATATATATATATATATATATATATGTTGGGTATTGTCCAACATGAGTCATTACTTCCTTTCCAGGTGACAATAGATTATAAGGTTTATTATGACGGATAATACTAATTAATAGATCAGGGATTTATACTAGTCCCACAAGCCCCCACATCGACTAAGCATAAAGAAGCCTCTAATATCTATTATGATGGCATAAACCTTAAAAGGACATCTAATAAAATTGAAACGATACATAAAAGATTAGGGAAGATAAAAAACCTTTCTTACTTCGACGATGAATCAAGTTCATTCAAAGTTTTACCAATGATCGTACATAATCTTCTGCAATTGACAACTTTAGGGAAGAAAACAAGAATAACCAATGAAGTTTCTGTTTTCATGCGGCCTCTCTAGCTTTTTTCTTTCTGTTTTTATTGTGGCCTTTCTAGCCTTGCTTTTATCTTTCGTGTTAATCATGTTTTTTTTTAGAAATCTCAAACCATATTACTTTGGGATCACATCATACCTCATCTTCTGCAATTTAACTACTTAGAAGAAAAAAGATGAAACTTTTTTTTTTTGGGTGGTAAATCATGATGGCTCTAAGTCTCAAAACCTGTACTTTGAGACCATACTTTGTCTTTTGTAATTGAAAAAAAAAAAAGAAGCTCTTTTGATCCTCCATCTTCTCCACCTTACTATCTGTTGTTTTGGTCACACTTAACTGACATCTGTCTGAAATTGTTTGAGCAAACAATGAACAAGATTGAAAGCTTTCTTGCCCTAGTCTGGGCTCTTTTTTGCAGTTTCGACTTCCAAGCTTGGCAATATCAACCTGTTATATCCACTTCATTCTTATTGATGAACTACAAGAAAATCAGTGTGCTTTTCTAGTTCAAGAAACTAGCTGCTGAGTACTACCGGAGATATATTGCCCATGCCTGTAATGAATTTACCAATGTACAGAAATTCAGTAACTCAAAAAAGTAGTAAACTCACAGCAACGAGGTGCATCTTTGCTACTCTTCAACTATCCTGACAATTTAAGATCAGATCATTCCCTATAGCTCTAACCAAGTTATCAAAATAATATCCAGTCCAACCAGTTAGATTCACTAACTTATGGCGAAAATCATTGAATTCCTCCTGAAGTACTCCTTCGCAGAAATACTTTTGCAGTTCTGTCTCCGCACATTGATGAAGTCTCTCCAAAGCAGCCTCAGCTTCCCCTTGGATGTACTCAAAAAGCCGCTTTTTCTTGTGCTGATCCTCCGGTAGATAGTAGCCGTAGGCATAGGTCCATTTTAAAACCCTCCTGCATTCCACAATTTGTGCCCAGGCACGGATGATGAACTGCAATTCAGTCTCAGGTTCGCCCTGGATTTCACTCAGCTTCTCAAGATGGATGGTTTCCATCAGTTTCAAATCCTTCAATGCTTTTTTCCTCGACTTTTCATTACCAGCCCACCTCTCGTAATAATGTGCATATTTCCGCAATGAATTCTTGGCCATCTCCCTCTTGTTTTTATCTTCATCGTATTCTCCACTTTGCTTTGCTCGCTCATAGGCATTGCAGGCATAATACCCGCCTGTTCTCTCGCCATGGGCTGACCATGGACCTAAACAAAGCCAACAGAAGTGATGGTTGCACGGGGACTTACAGGTCATGTGCATACAACCCTGATTCTTCTCGATTGGTTTCTTGCACTTTGGACATGGCTTCGTATAAGTCAAGATCCAATTCGTATTCTCTGCTTCTGAACTGTTTTTTACAATCCACTTCCCTGTGGTGCCACAATCCACCGGACTATGAGCCACCTCCAAACAATTCCAGCAAAATCCATACGAACAATTGCATGTAACATCAAAGTTTCTTCCATTACTACTTCCAACAATATAATAAACAGCGCAATCACATCCAGGGGCAGGACACCACTTAGTCTTCTTCCTATCTTCAATATAAGATCTAACAAGATAATTGTTGTATTTCTCCTTGTCTTCATCAGATGCCAAAGAATAAATCAGCTCTTCACCAACTGTGGCTCTGCACTTGGGTTCAGGGCATCTCAACATCAAGCAGCCGCGGCCATCATTGATGGATGTGCTAATATAAGTTTTCCAACAGGTCTTACAAAAGAGATGACCACATGCAATCCCAACAGCATCATAACAACAATCATGATTCTCCAAGCAAATCCCACAAAAGAACTCTTTTTTTGAAAGATCACGAGCCGAATAGTTCTCCAACAATCCAGCAGCTTTTCGGACCTTTTCTTCATTGGCAAACCATTCTTCACTGATTTTATCAACATCCCAATTGTAGTTGCACAATAAAATCGTTGCTGCTTCTCTTGAAACGAAGAGAATGGATGAAACTTTCGCGATTTCATCCTGTAGAAGTTTTCGGATGTCTTCAGCCTCCAACACAATAAAATTCTTCTCCGTAATTCTATCCATGGATTCTTTGTCTTCATCAATATCATCAGCGATGTAGGCGTCTCCATCATCTTCATCATCAACAGCCTCGTCCTCATATATGTCATGTTCGTCTTCATCACTCTCGTTGCTAATATAGTCGTCTTCATCATAGTCACTACCCATTGTTCCTGATCTCGCAGGACAAACAAGTTAAAACAAGATAGAAAAAAGATTTGATAACTTTTACAAAATTTGTTCTGACTTATAAAGTAGCGCTTTTAAGTACGCGAAGTTCTAAACCCTAAAAGATGTCGGATAGGATATTGTAGCTTGTAAAATAGGAACCAACCCCGGAGGGGTCAATTGGTGAATACCAAATCCATCTCTGAACAGGATTGCTAAAAACAATTTCCATCGTTATTAAGAAATCTAAATTCATACCGACTAAAATTTTCTTTACTCGTTATTCTGTAACCATTGTGTGTTCAGGAGCTTCTCCCTGTTCCTAATTAAAGATTCAATTTTTACACTAATTTGAACAAATTTTACAGTATAAATAATTTCGTTTCGTCAAGTCAAGTCATTCATCAGTGAAGTTATAGCCATTTGGGCGAAAAGACAAACACTTTAACTGCAACCTTGTCACCAAAATTCTTCCCAAAATTATAACAAACTTCTTTACATCCCACTATTAATCTACCAATAATCAAAAAAAAAAAAAATTGACCCACAAAAAAAAAGACACTAAAAGTATGATCATTAGCTCATTACCGCCTTGAATCAAATTGTGCAGTGACGAAGTTTGTTTGGTAAGCAACCTTCAACTTTTCTGGACTCCTTTAAATGGAATTTCCCTAAGCCAATCAACTTCTGATACTGCCCAACCCGGGTGACTCGAGTAGTTTCGTTGGTCCTCTTTAGAATATGGCGACCACGGTTCGAGTTCCGGAGAGATCGTGTTTGCGAGGAATGGGCCTCTCCTTTAGGACCGCAGGGAGTAGTCGGATCGAAGGCTCGAATACTCTGCGTTAGAAAAAAAAGAAAATCAACTTCTGATACCAAATTCTTTTTTTGGGTGTTTTTGGGGTGGGTGGATAACTAAATATATTTTTTTTGTTTTTTTGGAAGGTTTCGAATTTGAGATCTATACTTGTACACTTTTCTTTCTCGTACTATTCAATCCATTCCTTATCCAATATTAAAGGTGTGTTGGATTGCAATTTTTTAAAGAAAAATTATTACGTTTTCTGCTAATATATTTTTCAATTATTTTTTATTTTACATATATAATTTTTTTATAAAAAATTCAGCAAAATACAATACAAACAAAGTCAAGTGAGAGGACGAATCCGGACCTCTCAATTCCACTTCTTCCCGCTATACCACTCAACATATCCCTCACCCAATATTTTGTTAACTATAAACAGTTATTAGACTATCAATATTTTGTTAAATCAATTCTTTCAATTGAAACTATGACTATTTTGTTACTTATTAACACATAAATGAACTAAAACACAAGAAATATAGTAGGTATGCACTAATTTATTATTTAAGGCAAAAGGAAATTGGAGCTTGGAAAGAAAAACAACAAGGAAAAAATGTCTATTATTAATACACGCAACTTGAGAAATAGTGAGCACTAATTCATTATTTAAGACAAAAGGAAATTGGAGTTTGGAAAGAAATCAACGAGGAAAAGTCAAAAGGCAAAAATGTGCACTATTAAATATTAATGCAGGCAACTTGAGAAATGTATTGGAGATGAATGTATTGGAGATGCAGGGGATCGAACCCTGTACCTCTCGCATGCAAAGCGAGCGCTCTACCATTTGAGCTACATCCCGATTTGGGATGCTGAATGAACTAATATTAAAGTATTATAAATTTTTTCCATAAACCTCTCCACTGTCCACTCTGCAGCCATCCTTTTTCAAAGAATTAGGAGAAGAAAAGAAAAATACTATAAGCCCCGTCCCATCCCCAAAAACCCATAATTCCTTAAGCCCTGAAAATCCTTTCTCTATCATCCAAACAAAATAATTCTGCAACCATGGATTTTCAAGTGGTTGTATTAGCAGGAGGCTTCTCCAAGACCCTTGTCCTCTTGTTTCCAAGGTCAGCTCCCTCAATATATCTTCATACCTTCACTCTATTTTTTTTTTTTTGTTTTTCCTTAGTTGTTGGCATTGATGCAAGAATAAAAATGGGATTTTTAATTGCAGGGAGGTGCCCAAGCCTTGCTCCCGGCGCGAACAGGCCAGTTCTTTCTTATGTTTTGGAGCTTCTTGAGCCAAATATAACCTTAAGGATCTCATTGTTGTATGTTTGTTTTTCTTCTTTTTATCCAATTTGGATTTTAAATTTTCAATTTCTATTGCTTTAAGACGGGGAAAAAGTGTCTTGGTTTGGAATTTTGATGTGGTTTACGTATTCTGATTTTGGGATTTTTTTCAAGTTGAAGGATATGGCTGGTTGTTTATGTGTTTGTGTAATTAGGTTGTTGAGAGCGAAAGCGCGGCTTTGCTTATAGGAGGTTGGATATCAAGTGCCTATGTTGATCGACTGCACGTGGAGGTTAGGATTGATGATTTATGTATTCTCTGAGTTTATTGCTTTTTTATTTTTATGAATTGGTTAATTGTGCTGTGCTCATTGCATTTTCAGCGTGACCAATGCAAATGAAACATTCTTTAGTAATCCATGGGTTGGGTTGATATAATATATAGAGGAGGAACAAAATAAAAATACTAAAGGAACCTAAAAACCAAAAAGACGAGGAAGAATAGAGAAGCTCAATTATTGCATTGTTGGTTGAATTTAGAATTTCACCTCATCCTATTAGCTTGTAGGTTGTATATCAATTTTAGTTTGGTATTGTACATATGAGAAATTTGAATTTGTGTCAAGTGAAAACGTGTTGTATTTGAGAGTGCTGTATGAAGGATGATTATATGTCCATGAGAACGTGGTTTTGTTTGATCTTAGAAGGTTAGTTAGGCATTTGGCTAGAAGAGTTGCTGTTTACTGAAGAACATTTTAAGTTCTTTAGCATTTCGCTATTTCACTATTTCTTCTAGTGCAATGCCCACTGTATATGCCTTGTTGCAAAAGGGTTAGAACTTTGAAGTAGTGGCGGAATTCCAGAAGAGAGAAAGAAGTAAAGGAAAACAAAGAACATAAAATGGAAAACTTTCTGGTTTCTGAGTTAGTAATGCAAGAACTTGTAATATACTGTTCTTTTACAAGCCATCATTTTTAAATCAATATCAACGGAATTGAAAGAATTTGGAAGTTTGGAGGGTTGTTTTCACTTTGTTTTAAGCTATTGACTGCTTTGTTTGGGCATGTATATTAGAAGACCATGTTAGAGGATGCCTTACTTGAATTACTGGTTCATCTATAAACAACATAGTAACAATGCAGTTTCACATTGACATATTTGGAAGATTTATTTTCTTGCCCACTTTGATTATTTCATTCTCAATGTAGTAGTATCATATATGTGTTCCCGAACTCTGAAAAACTTGTTAAAGTGAAAAAATGGAAGAAACAAAAGATATACCGCAATGGTAGCGAAAAGATCTTGCTTTTTTGTGTGTGGGTATTGGATGTCAGCATCGGTTATATTTTCTCAATCTAAGTCCAGAGTTTGGATGTATAGTTAGTTGAAAGAAACATATGATAGATAAATGATCAAAGAATTTTCTACATGGCAGAATAGATGTACTGTGATCTTTTAAATTGGGTAGTCCCTCATTTTTTGTTTTTAAATCCTCAATGTAGCGATTGATTCTCCGCATTGACTATATGTTACCCAAGTCTTCCAAGTCGGGAGGTTTTGTTTCTGAAAGGAAGTCTTCAATGTAGTTGTAAATTTAGAAAAAAACTTCCCAGATTCTGTGTACAGAGGAGGAGTGTATGGATTCTCTGTTTGGTGGATATGAATCCAAATTTACTTTTTTGTTAACATTGGGGCTATTTTTCTGATCAGTATTTTCCCCACAACCACCTGATTAAATCTGATTTTGATTTTCATGACAAAGCTATTATAGACTGTCCACATTCCTTGATTTTTAGTGTAGAAAGAGATCTGGATGACCGTCCCGTTCTATTTGATGTTTCTTCATGTCAATTTTATTTTAACTTGGACACTTTATGCTTAATCGATGAGCCACAATTGACCTAAAAATATCTCAAGTATGATCTGCAGTGAATACCATCATGATGAATTTGTGATGTCTGTTGTTGACGTTTAAAAAAATCCAGGTGGCAGCAGTTCCTGAAGAAATTGGGACAGCTGGTGCTCTGCGAGCTATTGATCACCACTTGACTGCAAGTGATATCTTGGTTGGGCCTCTCACTAGAAACTGAATGTGATATTTTAGTATGTTATTTCACTGTCATAACTGAAATCCAGTAATTGGCAGGTTTTGAGTGGTGATCTTGTTTGTGATGTCCCACCTGGGGTTGTAGCTGCTACTCATCGACGACATGATGCAGTAGTCACTGCAATGCTTGTTCTAATCCTGTTAGTGGATCAACAGAATCAGGTTCCTCTGGCGTAAAGGACAAAGCCAAGAAACGCTATAACATAATAGGACTGGACCCCACAAAGCAGTTTCTGTTGCATGTAGCAGCTGGTGAGATCCTTTCATGTATTTGTCTGTTTGTTTGTTGTAAATTTGTGACAAATTCTTATCTTGTATTTCCTTTTAACTTGTAGGAGTTGAAGTTGAGAAAGATGTACGAGTTCAGAAGAGCATCCTCAGAGCAGTAGGCCAGGTAAAAGAGAATGCACTGGTCATTGCATGGAACACCACTCGATTACTAAGATGAGGATCCTCAAGTGATCCTTTTTCAATTCTGCTCCCTCCTTTTGTCCCCCTTGTTAACTTAATTTTGGTTGGATTAGGTAGTGAATTCTTTGTTTTTATGTATTCAGTCATATTGTTGCTCATTTTTCATGTGGGACTGATGGTGCTTGGCTTAGCCATTTTATTTCTGTATGCTGTAGATTCCTTGGCAGTTAAAGCAAAAGGACTTATGTATGTAGAAGAATTTGCACTTATGCATGCAATCCCCTTTCCTTCTCCTCTCCAATAGTATTGCTCTTACTGCTGTGAAGTTTGATTATTTATGATTTGAGCATTGGCAGTTATTTGAAGGAACATGTAAACCTGATGTATTGGATAAAGAAAAAGTCTATCCCCAGGGTAATGGTTGATACATTCCTAGCCCTTTAGCTGGATGAAAAAGCTTTGCATTTCTTAAGGAAAGAGAAGATCTCTTTGTTTATATACTCTCCTTACTAAGTTATCTCGAGTCCTACTCCCTCCCTCTTTTAGCATTTGTCATCATCCAATTGAAAATTTCATAAAATCATGCATTTACATCCAACCCTATCTTATAAGCATCCTCTCTGTCAAATCCTCATGCAGATGGATATTCGTGCTGATTTAATGGACGCTCATATGTATGCTTTCAAGAGGTTTGAGGTTTCGCTCTTTGCTTTAAAGCAATTGTTTTTAGGGGTTTGGGGGGGGGGAAGGGAGAGGGGTTTCAGTTTGCTCTAGATGTGTCTGAAACTCACTATTCATTTTGTTTTAGGTCTGTTTTGCAAGAGGTTCTGAATCAAAAAGAAGCTTTCCAGAGCCTAAGACGAGATGTTTTACCTTATCTAGTTAGAAGCCAGCTGGTTTGTTTTGATAGCATATTTTCCCTTATTCTAATGCCAAATCTATTGTTGGTGCCCTTTAGGAGTTCTGACTTTTTTGTGATGAATCCTCAGAGATCTGAACTGTTGTTAAATGGAGTGCAATCAGAAGAAAATGGGAATGATAAGGATGCTTCCCAGAATCCCAAAATTGTGCTGTCTCAGCTTCTGGCTAATGCATCTACCCCAAGTTTTCATGAATTGCATGCCTTGGGTCCAAATGGTTTCTCTCTTAGTCCAAGGAAAACTCATAAATGCTGTGTCTATATTGCCAGCAACAGCAACTATTGTGTACGCTTGAATACCATCCAGGCATTCTCTGACATA